CCCATCTCAAGGAACGAGGATAATCTCCCTACTCGAAAAATAGAACATCCCCAAGGGGGTGAATATCAACCAAATAAAAAAAAAAGGGAGGGGTAAAATCGCGCACGCGAGACCCCAGAAGAAGATGAAGAAAAAAGAAAAAAATAAAAGAAAAAAGAAGAAAACGAAAAAAAAAAAAAAAAAGTAAAAGAAGAAAAATTAGAAGAAAGAAAGAAAAAAGAAGAAGATGAAAAATAGAAGAAAAAAAGAGAGGCGCGCGTGCAAGCACGCGCGCGCGAGTCAGCAAAAAAGAAAAAAAAAAAAAAAAAAGAGAAACCAAGCCAAGCTACCGCGCCTCCTCCAAGCCCCGCGCGCGCCCTCCAAGTCTCGAGGCGCGCGCGCCTCTATTCAGAAAAAAAAAAAAAAAAAAAAAAAAATACAAGCCTGCTAACGCGTGCATAGCACGCGCGGGTGTGCTGCCCCACATTGGGCCAAATGCGCACCTCGATTCGCGCACAATAAAAAAAAAAAAAAAAAAAAAAAAATTGAAAATGCACTGCACAGCATAGGCGCGTGGCATCCACCACCTACCAAAGCTGCGCCATTGTCAAATCATGTATTGCAGCCCACTTTCTCACTCCTCGTCTCGGGCTGCGTGCTGGCTCCTCCTCTCACAGCGAAACGCGCGGCTCTCTCCTCTCGCACGGTAATTCGCGCGGCTAGATTCCTCGGCTCACCAGCCTCCTCTCCTCCATCCAATCGCGTCCGGATTTTTACACATTTCATCAAATTACGTCCGGATTTTTAAGCGCTTCACCAAATTGCGCACGAATTTCAACGCGTTCCACCAAATTACGCGCGCTCTTCAACGCGCCACACCAAATCGCGCGCACTCTCCAATGGGAAAATAAAAATTATTCCTTCACAACACGCCAAGGATTAACGGAGCACTACAACACCGATCTACTCTCGACACGATTCGTTATTCCTTTCGACTTGGCTCCCACATTGTCTCGAGAGTGGGGGGCTTGCGAGACAACTCCCACGAGGAGCCAACTCGCTCCGTCCTATAACCCGTTGCGAGGTAACTCCCAAGAGGAGCCAACTACCTCGGGTCTCAGCGAGATAACTCCCACGAGGAGACCACTCGCTCCGTCCTACAACCCGCAGCGAGACAACTCCCACGAGGAGCCAACTCGCCCGATATTACAACCCGTAGCGAGACAACTCCCACGAGGAGCCAACTCGCTCGGTACTACAACCGGCAGCAAGACAACTCCCACGAGGAGATAACTTGCTCAGTCATATAACCCGTTGCGAGGCAACTCCCACGAGGAGTCAACTCCCTCGGGTCTACGAACCCACAGCGAGATAACTCCTACAAGGAGACCACTCACTCCATCCTACGACCCACAGCGAGGCAACTCCCACGAGGAGCCAACTCGCTCGGTACTACGAACCCGTAGCGAGACAACTCCCACGAGGAGCCAACTCACTCGGTACCACAACCCGCAGCGAGACAACTCCCACGAGGAGCCAACTCGCTCGATACTACAAATCCGTTGCAAGGCAACTCCCACGTACAACCACCTCGCTCGATAATAAGACTCGCTGCGAGACAACTCCCACGAGGAGACAACTCGCTCAGAGCAACCTCAATCCGCACGCTCCTCAATCGCGCGTCATTCAATGCTCCTACAACTTCGCTGCAAGACAACTCTCTTGAAGAGACAACTCGCTCGCAATGCACTACATAATCGCAAGCTCAAGTTAGCACGATTACAACCCTAGAAACACTTAGAGATATTATGAGAATCTATATAGCCTGGCCAGCTTGATTACTCAAAATTTATCTACTTGTTTTCGATGGGTCCTTCATTAAAACGTGGCCACGGTCCAAACATACTTACGACCCACGAGGTCTAACAAGGGGCACGATCCCCATCAAAAAATTCTTGAGAGCCTGATCCCCTCCTCAAGTACATCACGCACAAGGCTATATGTAAACACATACAAGCAACGCGTCAAAACATTGACAATGTCGATAAAAAACAACTCCCACGAGGAGAATACTAGCTCCGTGCTACTACATTATTACGAGACAACTCCCACGAGGAGATAACTCGATCAACTCTATTACCCCACGACGAGACAACTCCCACGAGGAGATTACTTGATCCGTGCTACCACATTATCGCGAAACAACTCCCACGAGGAGATAACTCGATCAACTATATTACCCCGCGGCGAGACAACTCCCACGAGGCGATAATTTGCTACTACATCGTCGCGGGACAACACCGACGACTCAAATAACTTACATAGCGACAACTTGGTCGCGCTACGCGCCAACGCGCATTCACGCCCCTCCGAGACACGCTCCAACGCGTTTTCGCACACCATCGACTACTACAATTTTTACTCTCGACACGATCTGTCACCCATTCCAATATGGCCCCCACATCGACTCGAGAGTGGGGGGCTTAATGATATGCATAATTGGGCCAGCCCAATGGGCCAGCCCAATGGGCCTACAATTTCTTTACCTATATCACCGAGGCCCAATCACCTTCAAATAAGGTTTGGGCCCAACAATCTCATCTAAGCTATAAATAAAGGTTTGAACTCATTCCTCAAGGTACGTCCTATTAACTGAGCAATACTATAATATGTATTCTCTGGACTATTTCTATGATCAGCACGTCTGACTTGAGCGTCGGAGGGGTTTCCGCCGGATCAACCCCCGGCTTAGTTCATGTGTGCTCATTTTGCAGGGACCTCAGGATCATCAAGTTGTCAAGCTACTGATCTGCTTTGCTCTCCCAGCTCGTTTTCTACACCACCCTAGGTGTGCTATATTTTAGCATCATCACCTTTAATCACCCTTTCTGCAGAAATTGTGTTCTACTAATTTAAATTTATCCATTATATATCTCAATTATTCATATATTAATATATAAATAATGACTTCCTTTCCAGCCAGAAGCTGTTGACTTTTGCTTATTGGGGCATGTCCCTTTTGAAATTACATACAAAATAATATAACTATATTTTAATTTAATTTAATTTTAATTTAATATAACTGCGTGTACAATACCCTAGGATCAGAACAAATTAGTGACAGTTCAACATTGAAAAATCATAATGCTATCCTAACATGCACACGTTTCACACACTGATCAAACATTTTTTTATGTAAAAAAAGAAAAGGAAAAAAATACCAAAATTTTCACCATTGGACTAATTGTTTCACAACTTGCCTAAATTATACAAATTCGTAACTCGTTTAAGGCTCGTTTGATTACCGCTATAATGTTCTACTAACTAAATAGTGGTTAGTAACATGTTCGGTTGACAAGATCCATATTTTATCAAACCATATACTAAAATTAAAAGTCTGCTATTAAATGCTACTATTTCATTAAATTAGTAACATCCCTCCCATTTGAGATTAATTTCATAGGGGTTAACTAAACAAGTAAGAGACTATTGTATCCTTCAAACCATATGTAAATTTTATTAAATAAAATATTTTATTGACAAATCACATATAATATCATAACTATAACAGATGTAATACAAGATCTAATCCATGAACAGCTGTCAAAAATTAATCTAATCTTATGTAATCCAAATTAATCCGAAATAAGTAATCGAATGAGCCCTTAGTCAATAAGATGCGCTATCTTATTGTGTTGTAGGAGTACAAAATTATCATAACGCTTAAGTCAACTGAAATTTTCGTTTTATCTTCGTTCATTTGTAACATGGCAACAATTGATAACACGAACTCGTAGTCTAACGATTATTGTAAGTCGTCGAAGTAAACAATCGTTTCCTCAAAAAAAAAAAAAAAAGAAAAAAACCCAATGAACAAACATTAACTGGGATTTGCAGTCTTGTTATTGATTTTATTTTATTTTATTGCTTATTATTTTAAAATTAATTTAATGAGTGAATAATATATAAAATATAAATATTATGGGCTTAAGCTTAAAATCCCGAGTCAAGTGTATTATGAGCTTCAAGCCCAATGGTGATTGCCTTCTTTAGGTTTGGATATGCTATTGGATCTGAATAGATATATTAGCCCAATATTTATTAATCAATAAATTCTACGGCCATCCCTAAGGTAGTGTCAAATTACGAAACTTCCCTTCTTGTTTGGTTAATTACATCCATTCCCCTGAACTATGATTTTTCTTATATGTTCATCCTTATGGTGTTAAATTCAACAGAATCTTCTACATTTCGTGAAATGTTCTCTAGTTTGTACTCGTTTCGTCTAAAAATGCAGTTTTCAGATGCACCAAAATCTGATATTTACAAGCCAAGAGACACTTCTCACTATCATCTTGTTTCAAAATGTGGAGAATATTCCACGTAAAACATGTACAAACTGGAGAATATTTCACATAATCAAGAAGATTCCACTAAAGTTCACACTGCAAGGGTGGATGTGTAAGAAAATTCATAGTTGAGTAATGGTGGCTGTAATTAGGGTTGGGCATGTATGTGTCGGTTTTATAGACCAACCGACCCACTTTGGATCCGCTTCTTTCGACTGATAATTTTTTTGGCCAATAATTTTGTTGTCGGACCGATAATTTTAACCGACCCATATATAAATGGGTCGGTCAATGATTTTCAATTTACTCAAAAGTCGGTTGACCGATAATTATCCGACTCGATCCATGCCCAACCTTAGTTGTAATTACCAAAACATGAATTTTTCTTTTGGTTGTAATTTGACCTTACCCCGATGCGTAATTTACACTACAAATACTAATTCTTACTACAAATACTAATTCCAATTATATCATATGGTGTCGTTAATTACTTAATTTTCATTTTATATATTATACTAAGTTTTATAAACAAATATAATACAAGAAATAATTATA